GGTAGATGCTAGCAAACTTGATGACGCAGCGAAGGTCAGGATTCTATTAAGGAAACTCAGTACAACTGTACATAATAAATATATGGACTTTGTTTTGCCAAACCATCCACGTGAATATAATTTCACTACAACAGTGGAGAAATTAAAACAACTGTTTGGACTCCAAAAGTCACAATTCAGCTTACGCTATAGCTGTTTACAATTAACCAAAGCACCAGATACCGACTATACTATACTACGAAAATCTGAAATTGAATAGCCTGTCATTGGACCAGTTCAAATGTTTAATGTTCGTATTGGCACTGAAATCGGAACCAGACTTCGAAATAAGAACACGAATATTGACCAAACTGGACACAGAAGCTGATACCATCAACTTGGAAAAACTTACAAACGAGTGTCATCGTATCAATAATTTAAAATCCGACACAGCGCTGGTAGAAAATAAATCACGCGAAAATCAGGTGAATCGATTACAAGCAAATAAGCTTAAGAACAATCACAAGCCGAAAACACCATGCTGGTTTTGTGGAGCAATGCATTATGTGCGTGACTGCCCATCCAAAAATCATAAATGCGAAGACTGTCACAACATAGGCCATAAAAAAGGTTTTTGCAAAGTGAAAAATTCATCAAAATCAAACTGCAATAACAACAATTAAAATAATAGCAATGGTAAAGCAAGAACATTTTCACAGCCACGAGTCAACAGTATATACACAACGAACAGCATTACAGCTTCACAGCGTAAATATGTCCACGCTAAAATCAACAATGTGCTAATCAAATTGCAATTTGATACTGCATCGGACATAACTATCATTTCAAAATTTAATTTCGACAAATTAAATATTTTAAATATAATGGAAGTAGAACAAGAATCTGCTAAAAGTGCAACTGGAAACTTACCATTGTACGCAAAATTTACATGCGATGTGCAGTTAAAAGACACAATTAGAACACTTACGTGCTTCGTTATAGCGATCGATTTGAACGTATTCGGATTGGACTGGATAACTTTTTTTCAATTGATCGATATGACGCTTAATGCTATTTGCAGCCAAATTTCAACAACAAAACAGGCAAGTAATGTTTCCATAAACTCTTCAAATTGCAAATTTCTTCCGGAAAAATTATTTCCAGAACTTTTAGAGAATGCTATGGGTCTTTGTAACAAAACTAAGGCACCTTTAAGTATTAAACGAAACTGTCAACCTGTTTTCCGACCTAAGCGCCCGGTAGCATACGCAGTTCAACGTTTGGTTGAAGAAGAAATTAAGCGACTTCAAGATCTCGACATTATCGCACCTATCAGTTACTCTAACTGGGCCGCACCAATCGTAGTTATCAAAAACCCAAATGGCAGCATTAGTATTTGCGCTGATTTGTCAACTGGTCTTAACGACGCGCTTGAATCTTACAAGTATCCACTACCGCTTCCAGAGGATATTTTTGCAAAAATCAGCAATGCAACAGTATTTAGTCATATAAACCTTTTGGACACTTTTCTTCAAATCGAAGTTGATAGCAAATCGCAAGAACTTCTCACAGTAAACACGCATCTAGGTTTATTCAAATACAAGCGTATGGTATTTGCCGTCAAAACTTTTCCGGCAATTTTCCAACAAATTATGGATAAAATGCTTGCGGGCTTACATTACGCAGCTGCTTACATTGACGATATCTTTGTCTCAGGTAGAAACCAATAAGAGCATGACAACAGCTTACAGGAAGTTCTACAACGTACCATATTTATCAATAAGGGAGTTCTCAAGATCGAAAAATGCGATTTTTCAGTTCCTGAAATTGCTTACTTGGGATATATTGTCAGTAAAGACGGCATTCGCCCAGATCCAAGAAACAATGAAGCAATCAAGACAATGCCTGCGCCAACCAATCAATCAGAACTTAGATCACTCTTAGGGCTATCAATTTTTATGGAAAATTCATAAATCACATGCGCAAATATCGAGGACCATTAGACGAACTACTTCAAAACAACAAACAGTGGCAATGGACGGAACTTAATCAACGCTGTTTGGATGGTTTCAAACAAATTTTGTCATCAAAGTTATTATTAGCGCATTACGATCTACTGAAAAATATAGTAGTCGCTGCAGATACATCTAACTATGGGCTCGGAGTTTGCATTTTTCATGAAGCTGACGACGTTTCAATGAAAGTAATTTGTCATGCGTCGAGATCATTAACGCCAGCAGAAAAACAATATAGCCAAATAGAAAAAGAAGCTCTTGCGCTTATTTTCGCGGTCACAAAATGTCACCGAATGCTTTTCGGTAGAAGATTTAAACTTCAAACGGATCATAGGGCCTCTTTTGGCTATATTTGGTAATAAAACTGGAATTAATTTTCATCAAGCAAATAGACTTCAACGTTGGGCAATTAAACTGATTGCATACGACTTCGAATTAAAGTTTATTTCAACTAACAGTTTTGGGTATGCAGACGTTTTATCACGACTCATACATAACACAATCAATCCTTCAGAAGATTATGTCATCGCTGCAGTAGAGTTTGAATTTGAAAGTAAACAAATTTTACATAACTCACTTGATATGCTGCCGCTTACCAGCAAAATGATTACTTACGAAACAGCTAAGGACAAGGTTTTAGCTAAAATTTTCGAATATGTAACTGAAGGATGGCCATCAAACTGCAACAACAGTGAGTTAAAAGCTTACTTTAACCGAAAAAACGACATATGTATAGATGACGGATGTTTAATGTTCGGACAACGCATTATTATACCTCAAGTTTTAGGAAAGCGCATTCTTAAAGAAATTCACCGAGGTCATTAAAGCATAGCCATTGCGCGGAACTATGTTTATTGGTCAAATATCGATTACGATATTGAAGCAATGGTGAAAAGTTGTTCAAATTGTGTCGTAGCAGCTAAAATGCCCACAAAAACATCTTTACATCCTTGGCCAAAACCTTCTGATTCTTGGGAACGGCTCCATATTGATTATGCAGGACCAATAGATTCATACTATTTGGTCGTAATCGATGCGTTCTCAAAATGGCACGAAATTATACAAACAAAATCTTTAACAGCAACTCAATTTCCAGCTTGAAAGAAATTTTCGTTAGATTTGGGTTACCGAAGAATAGTTTCAGACAATGGTACTTAATTTGTGAGTCATCAATTTCAACAGTTTTTAGCGGAAAACGGCATTAATCATATACAAAGCAGTCCGTACTATCCCATGTCAAATGGACAAGCCGAAAGGTTTGTGGATACTTTAAAGCGAGCACTCAAAAAGTTAAATGGGAAGAGGGTAACTGCTGAAAATCTTCAAATATTTCTACAAGTTTACCGATCAACTCCGAATAAGCAAAATGAGGACAGTAAATCGCCAACGCTGGTGTCTTTACCAGACCCAAATGCCAAGCTTAAAAACAAGTGCGATACACAACTCAAAATGAAAGCGCAGTTTGACAAAAGATACGGTGCAAAGCCAAAATTCGTAACCGAAAAGATCAAGAAAATGAGTTATCATCAGAAATACGTACTTCCGAAGATATCGCCAACGAGAAGTGTTTAGCTGATGGATTTGGCCTCTATGAAACAACACCTAAAGATGTGGTCGAAATAACTAACAAAAACATGGTTTCGACTCCAGCTCAAGGCAACTGATTACTTGCTTAGTTCATTCAAAAACTTCATATAAAAAAAATTTAGCATTTTGATGTTAATTTGATTAGTTTGTTGTGTGTAAATGCCTTGGCAGCACTCGCATCAACAGCAAAAGCGAAACATACGTTAACAGTGAAAATTGTTTACACACAATTCAAACAGCTGAGAGAGATAGCTAACAAATTTCTATACAAAAGTTCATTTTAAGTTATTATTACGACATTTGGGACTAGCAGCACTATTATTCAAATTTGTACTAATCTGAGAATCACCGAAATAGTTGATTCCGTGCTTAGTTTCATTTTTGTGTGCAAATTTTTGTTGTAATCAACTACTAAGCAACTAATCAGTTGCCTGAATACCCCCATTGTTACTTCTTTTGTAGTATTGCTTATATGTATCTTTTCATGCCCTCATGAGTGTGACGCTCTCAGAGAATAATAGTGTAAGAATTATAAATACTGGACACTCTCAAATACGTAGACATGTTTTATAAAACTCGGAGTCTGACAATATATGATTTTAGAATTTAGTAGACCAAAATACATATTAAAAATATAGTAGCACAAAATGAAAATTTGGCTAGAAACTAGTGCTATTACGATAAAACGATATGTATAAAACTTGTAAATAAATCGGAATATACGTGATACCAATTTTTTTCATAAAAGCTTATTATTTTTTTATAACTTTTTTTAAACTGCATGAGTACATATAAGTATATGCTTAATATTTATACCCGTAGAAAATATTGCCTTTGAAATGATTTGCTAGAAGGAGCCATACAAAATGACTCAACCTGCTATTCTTAATAACCCAATTGGTTTTCCGATTAAGTTAAGGAGACGCGTTAAAACCGCTAACTGTGCCCGATCAGCGAAAAAATTGGCATACATTAGTGAAATCCACTTTCTCTTAGATAAAGTGATAGATAAAGATATTTCTTTCTTCTTCTATCCAATCTAATCTATATGTTATCTGCTAGTTCTTTTTCTTCTGCATCTCTGTCAAATTTCTAGCGATTAAAAAATCTGTCTAAACCGATATTATCTTCGATGTCATTCGTAGAACACCCCTCTTCGCTCTTATTGAACACGTTATAAGAGTATTCACATAAGACAGTTCTTAAGTGCGTTAATAAGTCTTGCAATGTACAATGAAAACACAAATATATTAGTTTTATGGTTATTTCTATTAATTATAATTAATCTTAAAACTAGAAGAACTTGTAGAAGATTTTTTTGTGGATCTTTGTGATTGTTCTTTTGTACTGTGAAGTACACTCTCTCGCTGAACTCTCTCGTTTTTAAAAAACATTATTTTTTTATTTTTCTTGTTATAGAGAATTTTACAATTCACTTCTACCAAAAAGATGGCTAATACCGGACACATTTTTATTAGCTGGGCAGGTGTGTGCAGCTTCAGTAAACAATATATGGTACCGCGCTGAAGTGATTGATAGAATTAATAAAAATATAATAAAGGTATTTATTTTATAACTAATAAATTATTTAATAACTTCATTGCGTAGCAATAAATAATTATTAGGTGTATTGTGTTGATTACGGACTAATATTAACTGTTCCTGCTTATTGCTTAAAATTTTTAATATCAATTTTTGCTGCACTACCAAAACAAGGAATTCGAGGATGTTTATCACAAATCCAACCAAAAGGACAGTACTGGGATATAGGTGCAAAGGAATATTTCATTTCAAAAACAATTTCGAAATTAATTTTTGCTCAAATATCAAAAATAAATAAACAGGTAAATAATATATATACAGTAATCGTAAACGCGATAGATTGGTTCCACTAAAAGGAACTAAAAGGACTTTAACAATCAAGTACTGGGCTTCGGCTAACAGTACAGCCAGGTGCTGAAATCGCGTAATATTGTTCCAACCAAATTCTGGAGATGAACTGATGCATGCTATCTATAGTCATATCGCCACCGGCTTTAAACAATTCTACATGAACACTTTGTTGTTCTATAGTCGCTATAGTTGCTATAGCAACACGTATTTCGTTATGGCTAGGTGGTGAAACTTCGACACCATGATTTTCGATTGAGGACTTCGACAGCATACCATCCAAATCGAAATCGATATCATCATCGCCAGATAATAGTTTAGAGAAATGTTTCTTCATACTTTTAGTACATTATGTGTATCCGTACCAAAGTTACCATTTTTGTCTCTATAGGATGATATTTTTGGTAAAGTACGGACATCATTCTTGTTTCTACTCAAGTCGATGATTTTTTGTATTCATTCATTTTAGGAATAGTATTTTAAAACGAATTCGTTTTAAAACATTTTTTTAAAGAATTATGTCTAGCTAAACATCATATTATAGATGCGTTAAAGACTATTCCGATAGTTTTGCAATTTAGAAATTTTTTATTGCGAAACTAAAATTTTTTCCACTGTATAACAAAATTTTTTTTCCTTTGTAAATGTTTGATTTTTATCATCAACCATATTCATTTAATTCACGGTTGGGAATCGCTGCTTTAGATATTTTACGTTGAATATCAACTATTGTGCCACCGTCAGGTGTCAGAATGTTACCCAGATAGTCAAATATTTGTACATCATCTACAATTCCTCCAGATATTTTAAGCTGTGTATTGTTGCTCACGTGCGAATTAAGCACGGATTTGGTCTTCTTTGTGTTAATTTTTAGGCCAAGCTGCAAAACGTCATTTGTTAAATTTGATAACCTGTTCCGCATATCATAGAGTGTGTTGCTGATTAAAGCAATGCCATTAGCATATGACAGATCGCCTAATTTTTGTATTATCTTCCAGTTTATGCCACATCCATTGTATGTTTCAAATACTAAGTCTAATGCAGTTATAAAGAGCAACGGAGCAAGTTACGTTAACTCCTAATACGGTCGGAAAAGATTCGGTAAATTGTTGTTCATGCAGTACTCGGCAACAAGACCCATCGTACATATTTTTAATAATATAATTTATTTTACCGAAATAAAGCTCTAGCCAAAAGAGGTTTATCACCTCTAGCCGAAAGTACAGATCAAATAACGTCACGTTTTAATGCATCGAATACTTTTGGAAAATCGATAAACACCAGATAAAAGGGTGTATGTATTGTATTCAGCTTACTGCTCTATAAGGATTCTTACGATATGAATATTTTATAGATGCACGAATGACCCGATCTAAAACCGATCTGGTTTGGTCGTATAAGATTATTTAATGGTGCATTTATTCGCTCTAAAAAAATTTGAGTAGAGATTTTTAAAATTGCTGTTAGAAAAGATATTTTGCGCCAATCTTCACACGTTCTTCGATGGCGCTTTTTAGGTATCTTTACAATAATTGCTTCTTTTTCATCTCTTCATATTTTTGTAATAGCGACAACAGTACGGTTCCCATAAACCATGTATACCCATAATTCTGGCCTTTACGTAAACATTGCATAACTCTAATATAATATTTCTTATAAAAAGTTTGGCCTGGTAAATGGAGTTTGTAATAAACCAAACCATAAAAATAAAAAAAAACTGTACCTTTTAATACAGATGTTAGGATCGAAAGTCCCACGTACATTCTGATACAAATATTTTACTTTATTTTTTTATCACGGAGCATGTAGTTATTGGATTTATGTAACTGTTAAATATATCATTTTTGCCACCCGAGATCATTTTTTTAAATCACTTTCATATCAAAATATATATCTGATTTGAGTGCATTTATAGATGTGTATTTTCCATTAAAATTCATTATTTTTAAGTAACGGACCTTAGTTTTGGTATTTCTTATTAAATAAGTTAATGATTTTAACATATTTTTCGGCATAATTATTTTTAAATTATTGTATTTTACTTAGTTTTTCAAATAATTTGTATCTTTTTTGTGTAGGACCGAGTTTACCATTTAGCGCTTTGTGATACCAGTACAAATAAACCATTTCAAATTAATAAGGCACTTGTTACAAAGGGTTTTGCTGAATTCGAACTTAATACGGAATTCCTTACAACTTAACATGGTAAGTACATAATAGTGCTCCTAATATATAGCTATGTGTAATTTTTTTTTTTTTAATGAATATGAAACGTAATAATATTTATTACGATCTAAAAAAGAATGGCACGTATGGACTGTGTCCAGTGACATATCCATATATACTTAAAATAGAAGTGTAAGACCTACATATATATATCTAAAACGTCTCTCGATGTTTTTCTTTTTAGCCTTGTAAAAGTATTGGAGGGGGACATCAGGTGTGTAACCAGCTAGTTTGGATGGATATATATGCGATGTGCGTAATTCTTTGTAATAGGAAATATTTCTTCCTTGATTGTCGGAACACGTAATTGTTTATGCAGCTGTTCATTCGTTACATACCAAGGTGCATTTGTGATCATTCGTAGTGTTTTAGATTGAAAACTCTGGATAATTGCCAAGTTTGAGTGTGATGCAGTACACTATAATTAGGCTCTATAATTCCATATAGGTTTTAGTGCAGTTTTGTATATACATTGTGACCGAAAAGTTTCCGGTCATAAATAAATAAAACGCAAAATTCTTAATCTTCATCAATATTTATTTTATCTCCTTTCAAACATATGCTCCATTAGAAGGATACACAAAAAATGGCCAACGTTTCTTCCAATCATCAAAACATTTTTTATAGGCGCTTTCCGGTATGGCTTTGAGTTCCCTCTGCGAATTCTGTTTTACGTCTTCTATGGATTCAAAACGCGTTCCTCTGAGTGGTAATTTGAGGTTGGGAAACAGGAAAAAGTCACACGGTGCAAGATCAGGTGAATACGGTGGCTGTTCGATGGTATTTATTGAATGTTTGGCCTTAAAATCGTTGATAATGTTGAACAAATTGAGGTGAATCGGAACAAGCCGGGCGTTGACACGTCGCATACACAAATTGTCCACCAAAATCAAACGAGCCATCTCACGACCGATGCCTAGCTCTCGTGCTATCTCTCTAACACTCACATGAGGATTTTTGAACACGATTTCCTTTGCCTTTTCAATGTTTTCGTCGGTGGTAGAGGTCGAAGGTCGTCCAGAACGCGGCATGTCTTCGACGGTCGTACGACAGTCCTGAAAGGCTTTGTACCACTCATAAACTTGAGTTTTCGATAAAACTGATTCCCCATAAGCCTTTTGTAGCATTCGCAACGATTCTGCACACGAAATTTCGTTCGAAAAACAAAATTTGATGCAAACTCTTTGTTCAATATTTTTTTCCATTGTTTTTTTCGCAACGCACTACTGAGGTGAACTGGTTTCAACAGCTGCCGTAAACGAACTGTCCGACAGATCGCCGCTCATTTTGGCATAGTAATTAAGGACAGTGCTGCCAAACTACATAAACTTAAAATATCGAAAAATATACAGCGCGCGAATTTTAAATGAGAACCTCCGAAAACCTTTCGGTCACAATGTAAGCAGCTTATTGTTGAGTGACAGTTTGGAATTTCGGCTGAAGAACCAAAATAAGTTTCACCATTTGAAACCTAAGTCTTTACGCTTTTCAAATGTATGTGGTTTCCAGAATATAGAAGATAAAGCATTTGTCGCATTATGCTTCTTAATGAAAAAGTGCCTTGCCGAGAGGTATGATTCAGTTTTAGTTTGAAAAAAAGGCCCTCATGCCATACTCGATTAAAAGCTTGCGAAATATCTATAAATGCCGCAGTGCAATATTTCTTACCATCTATCGCACTATGGATATTTCTGACAAGTCTATGAATTTGTTCTGTTGTGCTATGTTTTCGGCGAGAACCGAATTGATGGTCAGGGATTTTTGTTTATTAATGTAGTAACAATTAATTTAATGCTAATTTTTTTACTTATTTTTCAGACTAATTAATAAAAATTAAAACTGAAGTTGTGTGGAGCAAATAGAAAATAAGATGCAACTAAGTAGGAATTCATTACGAATGAAATAAGTAATATAATTATATTAAACATAAATTATTTTATAACTGTACTTTTCGAAATTGTAATATATTGTAAATATGTATTTACAAATTAAATTTTTCAAACTATATAAACAACTTTTAATTATGCAATATAATAGGAGACGTGGTGGAGGGGCTCAGTATGTATAATGATCCTGAGAGCGACGCCGGTGGTAGCTACTGACAGCGTCTTTCTTGCCGGTAAGGTCGTAGGTGAGTACGGAAGCTAAAAGCAATCCACATACCTGACGTCTGATCACAGGTTAGATGTGGTTAAGAGCGTCAAATATGTGTCAAATATGGTCATTAAACTCATCAAACATCCACTATTTTTTAAATTTTTGATGTTTATGCATAGATTCAAATATCGAAGAAAATCAGTCTTCATGGAGTTATCGAATAAGCTTCGAAAATCTCCCTGCACAAGCTGCAGCTGGTACAATGGATGTTAAGGTGCCAAATGCACACTGAAATATCAACACAATGAATAAAACCTCAACAATAGATCAAAAACTGCACTTAAACCGCAATAACAACTCTTATTGTTCCTGAAGAAACACTATCGGAATGAAGCGATCGATTCGAATTGCATCCTAGAATGTACGGACTTTATATGAAAGTTGAAAATTTACAGAACTTCGAAATGAGGTGTCTAACTATAAATTTAATATTCTTGCCATCCAAGAGACTAGATCCAATGACAGCGGAGTAATACGTGATCATAACATGGAATTTATTTACTCAGTTAGACTAGAAATCGAACATTATATGGAAAGGGTGGCAATTCTTATTTCTAAAGAAGTATCTAAAACTCTTATTGAATGGTTGCCAATAAACGAGATTATAATAAAAATTAAAACCAAAGCTCACAGGCTTGTTTTGATAAACTGACCTGATCTGATAAAAAACTGTGAGATCAGAATTTGATGTATGTTTGTTTCCGTTTACATAACTTCTTGAATATTGATCTTTTTGTTAGAGATCAAAGTTAGTTAACAACTAAACATTCTTTAAAGTTGCATATTTAAAATTTTTGGTTTTAAACAAAATTTTGGAATTTCAGGATTAAATTTACAAAAATATTGCTTGCACGAAATAAGTTGTGAGGAACGTCCCTATAACAAGAGCGATACATAAACAAGAACAACGGTACCTCGGCATAGACTTGACTGTTTTGGTAATAGATTATTTAAAAAAAAATTTAATGAAAAGAATTTATTAATTTAAGGCAATCATTATCCTTCTGGTTTTATTAAGTTATGTATAATAAAATACTTACATCATTTTTCAAACTAAGTTGCTATTAATATTTTTATACAAATAAATAAATAATAGATTAAAATCTGTTTTTTTCTGAAAATATAACAATTGTCGTTCATACATTGTTTCCGTTTCAAATTTTTTTATCCATTTTAATTTTAGACTTAATGGCAAACAATCTTTTATTAATTAAACCTTAAGAAATTGAAAATATTTCTATGACAAATAATATTTGTTCTACTACATTTTCAACATATTTTTACTATTCATGAATATGAAGGTGAAATTATTTGTACGCTAATTAGATGTGTATATTTGTGTAATAAAATGAAGAGTCGTCGTCGCAAATTTCTGATTTATTATATGATTACATTAATGATCAATGAATAGGCTTAAATACATATTTTCTATGTTATCTAAAACTTTGCTTTTTATATTTGTAGTATTATTTCTTTAACGATTTTATTTTCTGTATTCTTATATTAAAATCATCACAGTTAGCGGAGCTGAAATTTTAATTAATTATTTGTGGACATAGATATATATATATTTCATAAATATAATTATATAAATATATACATATAGAAATTCAATACATACGATGTGGCATCGTTTTATATCGCTGAGTTGCTAATTCATCATATGATTTTATTATAAAGTTAACTGCTGTAATTTTTTATATTCGTACATACCTATCTTTCTTAAATAATGAATGTACATAAATTAAAATTATTTATATGTGTAAAATTACTTTGATGCTTGTTTTCTTTACTGTCATGGAGTGTTACCCTCAAATAAAGCACGAAATTCGCCGCTTCGTGGTCGAGGCAAGCCTTCTCTGATTGTTTGGACCGGTTCGGCGAGGCTGTTCTGTGAGTTATGTAACAAGTTCTCCTTCATGTCCAGGTCGCTGCTTTAAAGTCATAGTTAAATAAGACATAAAATTATTTTGATTTTATATTGTATATATTTTATGTAGCTTAAAAATACTAGAATAATAACTTATATATATTAATAAATAAAATATAGTAGGATTCCACCAGTAGGAAATGGAACTGGTTAAATTTAACGAACGAGTTCCAAACACAATGATACATTTGTAAATTTTTTTTAAATTTGTCATTGTTATTATTATAAACAAAATATATATAAATACTAAATGAAAACTCAAAATTTAATATTTAAACATGTTTAATGTGTTTTAACGAATGGAATGTTTGGGCGGCTGAAATCCAATCCGAATTAAACCTAAATCGGAGAGCTGTGTGTACCAAATATTAATGTATTTGCCGAGGTATCGAAAAATTGAAAAACAGTAACCGAAATATTTTCTGACAGTGAATTAGTTATATTTTTATGATTTTGATTATTCTTATACAAATACTAGAGTTGACAAATAGTTTTGTCATAAAAAACAATAACAGTTCTACGAGGGAATAAATTGGACATTAATATATTGAATGCAATTCAATAAGATATTGCACTTCATCCAGATAAACTTTTATTGAATAAAAATGTAGCACATTATTTTAACCTGTAGTTCCTATAACTAATTTTCTGGCTACAATTCCGGCCCGGATACTATTTTAAGGCAATAATTATGTTGAACACCTGCCTTATTTCAATACTCCCACCTTGTTAAATAACATCGACGACATTTGATTCCAACAGCTATAAAGCACTCTTAAGAATTGATTTATTGCGATATCAATTTGGTTTTAAAATTTGTTTCCAGGAGTGGGCCTCTCGATTACTTTTTATGGAGTTATGCTAAATCATTGGTTTATGTCGACAAACCATTATTCTATGTTGAACCATTGTTCATGCCACCATTGATGACATACAACTACATTTATTGTAAAAAGGGTCAAAATTTGGACTGATCGAATGAATGTAACTCGTAACCGCGGCGGACAAATGCTGATAATTATAATCACGATCTCTCATATAATACAGCAGAGTCTACAGTACAGGACTTTTATCAAATGAATTGATTTTCGATTTCAAGATGATCGAAATCATGTCATCATCAGGGTAGTTTTGTAGATGGTCGACACAGAGTGCCGACAAATTATAAAGTAAATTATTTAATTTACTAATTTACTGTAAATGATGTATACGATGTGAACTGTAAGCGACTGAAGGCGCTTAAGGTGCTGCCAATAACATTAAATTTAGGTGTGTTCTATCTGTCAAAGCGGATATTACTTATTCCGATTGTGATGACGAAGGTGATGAACGGAATGATATATTCATCGAGTCTAGCGAATTATCAAGAAAATTCGAGAAAATTACAAAAAGTTTAAAATGTACTATAAAAGATAGCTAGCTAAATAAAGTAGAAAGATGGAGAAAGAAAAATAGAAATACCTTAAAGTCGGCGTTTGGTGCGTTCGCGGTATTTTCATTTAATATTAGTTAGTTTATATATATCAATGTATAAACTATATTGTATATTTGAGTTAATTTGCTCAAAATTTAACTGATTCATGCGATCACATTAAAATGAATATAATAAAACTTTATTTCATAACTTTGTTAATGCTAATATTGGTTAAATATTTATCATAAAATAACAGATAAATCAACAAAAGAGACAATTAATTAATTTTAATTAAAAATTGTAGCTATTAGAATCGGTCATAAATAAGCCAAATTGAAGCAGTGCCCATATCAGTAAAAAAACGTCACCATGGAAAAACCAAATGAAATCAACCAAATGAAACATTCCCATAAGAAAATAAGGAACACATGTGGCATACCTAACTAGTATACCTAGGTCGGTGAAATCAGCTGGCCAAAACCACGCATGGACTTAATAAATCTGAAGCAATACCAGATTATTGTTCTTTAAGGCAATTCAGCCGCGGCACAATAAGTTTTGTGTTTAATTAGAGATTTTTAAGAAATGGTTCACTCTATTATCAGTGACGAAGTTTCAATCATAACTATTAGGTATTATTTAATAAACGCCATAGTCGAGTAGTATTAATAAATAGTTTTAGAAATAAGAAAATATATATAAATAAAATAAAATTAACCTAAAAATAAGATGAAAATACGCAATGGGTTATCTACTTACTCGTCCTTGCATTCATCTGCTTCAGCTGCTAAAGCATTTACTACAGCTGTAATAGTGTTTGATTCTGGATTACTTAATTGCTCATCTTTTTGTTGCATAATATTTGGATTTTTTCCAATCTTATTTAACCGCTCCGCAGCAACAGTCTCCATTGTTTTTCTCATTAATGGATATTGGTCGAGTACACAATTAAAGTGATCCACGCTTAATGAAAAAAGATTACAATAAGTTTCAGCACGTACACTTGCAACTCTTCTTGCATTAGTTAGAAGACAGATTTCTCCGAAATATGAGCCATCGGAAAGAGAAGTTGCTACCTGAAAATACGAGTTAATAAAATATTGTTAATTGCATGTGTATGGAAAACAATAATACTGAAAAAAGCTTTTTCAAAGTTGCTGAGTTGGTGAATATTAAAAATTTGTGGCGTATAGTTTGTGGCCCTTTAAAACTGTTTTGATGCTGGTGTTCGAATATATGCTGCATACTGTAGTCAATGCTAAAAAAAAATAGCTCTTTGCATACCACATAATGTACATACATAAATTAATTATTCTAACTTTTTAATTATTTTTGGATTTTTGTCGGAGATGTTATATATTGGATAAGTTTTTTCGTTGATCGTATATTTGAAAATGTATATACGCGATGGAAGTTCAAGACCGTGTGCCAACTACCGCATGTTTAAGGCGCAGACCGAGATACCGACCTGCATCCTGCATGCGAAAAGATTATTTTTATATGTTGACTTGCAGAAGGCGTACCAACCACCAAATTACAGAGCGCAGCTTAAACATTCCAAAAGCTTATTAAATTGGCAACAATACTGGATTGCTCTCTTCCACTAACTGTGAAGGAGTCAATACGTTTTCTATGATGATTAACTGTTACCGTCATTTTTTACGAAACACCGACGTATATTCAACCTCAGTCCATGAAATCGTAAAAACGATAAAATCGAATTCATCTGGAATCCATAAGATATTACAGCATTCGTTGTTCAACTTTATGACGCAGTAGGTGCAATTTTGCTGTAGATTGTAGAGAGTGAAACTCAACCTTAAGCATTTTATTCGAAGGCATTGAATACTGCACAGTTAAAATACAGCGCACATGGTTGAAAGCTGACTGCCATCACCAAAATTATTCATTCATTTCGGTACTCCGTGTGCAGTCATCATGGACCGAGGACGTTAATTCCAGTCTACTATATTCACAGAAGTGACAAAACTACTGAGAATAAAGCATTGGCATACATCTGCCTATCACTTTCAGGCGAAAGACATGGTGAAACGATACCATATTATACTAAAGACGTCTAAAGGTTGTTACGATTTTAGCAGCTGAACCCAATAGCTTCCATTAGTATTATTGGAACAGATGTGTTACCATCAGACATTACCATCAAGCCAATTGAATCAAATTTTGGTAAATCGTTATGTAGAAAATTAGGTGTTGTCAAAACCCAATCTGGCACACAACATGGTCAACAATTAGTGTTTGTGCCCAGCAAGCTGCTAACTAGCAAATATGTTTTCTTGTGAGCCAATCGCATGTGGACCCCTTTCGAGCACCTTATGAAAAGCCTTACTAAGCAAAACCAAGCCGCCATTTGTGAACCAACAAGCACCAAATTCCTCGATCTCACGCACGGGCATAAGCGTACTCTGTCCTTCCAAGTTGTGTGTCTACGCTAATTGAAAGACTTAATGACAGTCGCACCAACAGCGCGAAGTCGCATGTACTTCCCCGTTAAAGGGGGATACTTTTGTGGCACCACGTACAATCTCGCGATAAAAGTATAACGAAAATTCATCATTTAAAAAATTGCTGAAAAGAAACACAGCTAGAGTTCTTCTCTATACCCCTATACGACTCTAAGCTCTCTTAACGAAATTTCATCACAAACATTAAAAGTGATTTAAAAAACTATTAACTTTGAGCGGAGAAATATAAGAGAACGCATAGACACAAATACACAATCATTGTACTTCG